TGCAAGATTTACTGTAACACATAAAAATAAAATGACAATAAAGTCATACATATAAATTAAGCAAGAAGCCCTGTAATCTAGTCTGTATCAATGCTGTATTTTCTCTCCTGTCAATGTCTCACTCTTCATCTCCTTTGTAGTGTAATAAATTACCATTATTGGTAAATATTTATATTCAGTTCTGTAGCATCAAGATACTGACAGTCCATACAGGTCTCCCAGAAGAATGCTCCCATCATCCTGAGACAACACAAATATTTATTACATTTGCCTTTCTAATGGGTTTATGCCTTTCTGGGGATGACTTCTAGGATCATCTTTATTCTTGTCTCAGCAACTTTTAGCTAAGAAAACTAAAACAAATTAGGACTTTGATAGCCACATGCATACTAGTTAAAATCAATAGCTTTAATTTCCACATTTAAACCTACAATTTTCATCTGACAGGCTCAGCAGGTTTTAATGCACACAGCAATTTACTTTTACTGTTTTAATTGTTTTTAGTCAATCACTTTTATTGCTTCTCTGCATCTGACTAAACAAATTAATAGAGCTATGTTCATAAATGATTACTCTCTGAAATGGCTTGATAGATATATTTGCCAGTTTCACCTCCAATTACTGCCAACATTAGTAATATTTATACCAAAAGGTACATTTATTCAGGTTCTATAATTAAGTGAGCAACAGGAATAAAAATAGCCAGAAAATCTATTTTGTGAGCTCTACAGTAGCAAGTCTTGTCCTTCTAGCAGCATTCTCTCCAAGCCAGATAAAAAAACAGCAAGACCTGCCTGCATAGCGGGCTGAAAAAAATCTGTATCACAGCAAGAGTCCCGCTTGTATTCTTGCATGACTTCTGCCTGAGAAAAAAAGCAGTGCATGTCTGCTGAAATAGAAGATCCTGATTCACTGAATGAAGCCCGGTGTTATTCCATAAATCTTCAGCTCCTCTGTCCCTTGAAGAAAGAGAGCACAGCCTTCTCACACACAAGCAGCAAACTGCCCCACTATGTGGAAGCACCTGAGATGTTCAAACCCAGACCTCTAGAGCTTTCGTTTTTTAACCATAATGGGAGAAAAAGTAAGCTAAAGCAAAGAACCTTTCATCAATAGTTCCAGAGCCACCTCCCTCTAACAGGAGACTCTTCAGTGTGTTTCTTCACTGTGTTTCAATAGGCAGACTGCAGGCTACCTGCTACCAAGCGCAGCCTCCAGCCAGCACTTGGGTCTTTCACTAGCAGTATCAGGGACTGAACACCTTTAAAGTTGAAGATTATAATTTTCCGCTGCTTTTTGGATGTCTAATCAAATCTAACCACTAAAACAGCTTGAAACTTCTATGAAGAACACTTTTAAAAAGAGGCTTGATCCAATCAGGTAGGGAAAGCCTGAAATTATTTTTCCCCACCTTCTTTCCTTCTCTGAAGAGCAAGCCATCTTGAAGATCTCCCCTCTTCCTCCATTCAAAGAGAAATGAAGTGCATGGAAGAGCAAGGCCACAAACTCCAAGTAGGAGAGGGCATTTCTTGTCTTTCTGGACCTAAGCTGCAAGGAAGAGGAGATCCAATGGCCTGCCTGGCCTCAGCACAGCACTGTGGGTTAGCTTACAGCAGGTGCTGGAGCACACCAGGCTCAGCCCAACTCAACGTGCTTGGCTCTCCAGAAATACCTAGCCATGCTCCTCCAGAGGATAACTAAATGCTCCAGCTGTAATTAACACATTAAGTTTTCCTTCGACCCACACCTGCTTTGTCTCCACACTCGTGGTGTACTATAGATTAGGCAAGTAAACCTTTGGGGAGAGTATGTCCTTCCCTGTCACTGTGTTTCTCAAACATCTTCCCTTGTGAGTGCGGAAATACTTGGTTACAAAGCTCCCATCCCCACATTTACTGAATGTGTTCTTTCTTCTGAGTGGCACCTAGAGTACTAAACCAGCTGCTGCTTCTGCAGAAAAGAAGCGATTGTAGAAGCGATTCTACATTGGTTAGAACTGCTGACATCAAATCAGTTTTTCATTCGGTATTCCTGCTTATGACCACGCACATTTGATTTAAACCTTCATTGAACAGAAGCCCTTGGAAAGATGCTGGGCTGTAAGCTGTAGAAAACTGATGAACTACATAGTCTGGTTGAAAGGCTCTTCACCTTTCTTTTAGAAACCTGCTTAATATGTTATATGAAAGAACCTGGATTGCTAGCTGAGGCTGCTAGATACCTCATGAATATATCAATTTTTAGTCCCTAAGCTATCAAGCTTACTCTCTACTGCAATAACAAGAAAAACATTAAAGTATGTATCACATCAGAAATGTGACTTACCACACGTGTAAACTGCAAAAAATGAATCTGTTTCTTGTTGAGGTTCATGCAAAATGTAATTTGTTTTTTTTTTTTCAGGGTTTTCCATTGACTAAGAAACCAATTCAAGGTATAAGTAGATACCATTTTTATTTTACATTCCTTGGGATTAAACAGATATTTAACCGACATGCAGTCTGTACAAACCCATCCTTCACTGCCCTTGTATTGCACACAAGGAGGCAATACAGCTGCTCTATAATCCCATCCTTTTGTCATCAGGCAGGACAGCACTCACTGAAATGTCAAACAGAGCAACCAGCTTGTTGTGATGGCATATCCCACAATATGCCTGTGATCAGGACTCTTCAATAAAGAGCGAAGTCTGATAGAGGGCTAACTAAAGAAATCATCCATCACAGATGACCTGAGTTGCTGCTGCTCTTAGCAGAGATCGCAGGAAGAACAAATAAAGCCAGAGGTGATAACAGCATATCCAATCACAGCCAAACATGGCCCTTTGGTCATACAAAGCCTGCTCCTTCCCACCAGTGCTTTACAGCAGAGGCGAGTGATGAACAGACACCGGTCACAGCCATGCCTAGGCACATCTGTACTCCTGTGGAAAAGAACTGGCGTGATCTTCTTAACTGTGTGCCCCGTGAGGCAGCTCAGCACGGCAGCAGCCTCAGCTCAATGGTAAACCTGCCCTTGAAATGGTTACAAGCTGCAAAAATACCCAGACATTTTTCTGCAGGCCAACACCATGGGACATCAGCCCACAGAAGCCTCTGCAGAATGATTAAAACATTATCCCAGAGTGAATTATTTTGTACAAAATGCACACATGCACTGCTGGGCTGCCCCATTAGCACAGAAAATCTGTTGAGATGCTGTTCTTGATCACTTGTTCTCTAATGTCAGAAGATCTCAAGCAAGATCAGCCTTATAGCAGGAGCCATACCATGCAGAAGAGCCTTTACATCCCTGTCAATCCTCTCTAAATTAACTGGACAAAGAAGTAGCAGTTAAAAAATAACTTGTCTGAGGTCACCTACAGAGTCTACAGCAGAATGAAGAAGCAGGTGCAGAACTTGATTTCTGGTCTGGTTTAATACAATCCCTTCTAACCCCAAAGAAGGAAAAACAATATGAGGTAAGGCATCAGCCTACAACAGTACTGTAACTGTTACTCTCTTGGGAAGTATTCATACACTGCCGACCAGCACAGCCCATATTTTGGAGCCGGGGACAGAAACCAACACTAAAACTTGCTCAAGTTTTCAGCAAGTTTGCTGCTTGGCAGGGTCCTTCCATCTCATCTACCTGGGAAAGACTTGATACAAGCCCCCAAACATTCAATAAACATTTACAGAGACATTACACAGTGTATTTCCAACACATATAATTGTATTGAGAATGCATTTTTTTCTTACCCCACTCCAAACTCTCTCTAGCATATGAGTTTATACAGAGCTCACTTTAATGAGCCAAAAACCATCAAAAAATAAAAACATCAAGGTCAGTAGATCAGTACATTGCAGTTAAACACATTCCAAATTCTGAATCCAAGAAAACAGCCTTTGTAGTGATACAAGTGCTGGTTGTATCTACCAAGAACTCTACCGCTGCCCTTCAGACCTGTTCTCCATTTCCAAGCACACAGAACTTCCTTTACTGCCAGTTCCTCTACTGATGGCACATTTTATTGACAAAATACAGCCAAGCCACCTACAGCAATTTCAGCTACAGAACCTTTCACACAAGAAGGTAACCAGTTCCCCCATCCACTTGCAGTAGATTTAGATCAGCAAACATGCAGACGCATTCAGATATTTGAAGTCTCATGCCAGCTGACAGTTAAGGACAGGGTAATGCTGTAACTGTGTTATCCTGTGCATTCTGGAAGCAGAGCTTTCTTTCCTCAGCCAGAGGGGCTGTGGATTCCCCCTCTGCCACACACTGATCCATCTAAGCCTTTTCACTCTCTTCTCCAATTTCCCCTTCCCTTTGTCTCACTGCTTTCTTGAATTGAGTTTCTCATTACAGTTCTTCAAAAATTCTCCTAAAATAACTAATGCCACTTAGAGGCTGCAGTCTTCCCACTCTTAAGAAGTGCCAGATGCATACAAGTCCATTAAGAGTTCAAGTACAGGCTTGGAGCTGCTGCACCTAACAACTAACCAGCAAAAAGTAAGCTGCACAGCCACAAGCAGACAAGTTCCCCATGGCACAAATACTATCACTGCTAAAAATGGCAGGCTCCAACATAACATTATATTTCTCTTAATTGCAATTGTATAAAGGAAGAAAATATTTGCTCCAGTATTCATGGAAGAAATCACAAATCTTAATGCATGCCAAGACTCAGAGCTACACATTAGACACACTTGCTAGGAACAGTTTTAGAAGCTACTTTTATTAGGTGTAATCCTGCACTCCTGTCTAGTCTGACCGACCAAACATCTTACAGTTGGCCTCTCAGATTTTGTCCATACATCACTCTAAGCGCTTGTTTACTACCAGCTGCTTCTGACTTCTTTCCACTGCTAACTGTCATGCCCTCTCCAGCTTATTGTGCTGAATAATTCCAGGGCTTGATGGGAGAGGGGGAGAAGCCATACAGCAGCACATTACCCCCACACACACACTTCTATCAGGCAGGTTGATGAAAGAAGATTAATTCCCTAACATACCTGTACTAGTTTAAGTCCCAAGCAGAGACTGCTAGAGGAGAAGTGCAGCAGAACAGTGCCTGGCATCACTCTGCAAGAAACAGGAGAGATCCATGGATGCAAATACCTACCACACAAAAACATCCCTGGCCTTGCATGACCACGTCACACAGTTCAACTCTGTTGTCAGACTGGGGGCACACACAAGTGCTGCACACAGCAGCTAGCAGTCTTGCTAACTATAACTAAAATTCTTGCTAACACCTCATGAAGAAAATATACTTCTATGTGGAAGCGAGTGCATTTGTTGCATTGCTTCTCTTGTTCAGAAAAGAGCATCAAATCCATACTGCTCCCTAAAGATGCATTGCAGTTTCCTAGAACACAATGTTGGCATAAATGCAGATAGCCAATACATGGAATACATTCCTCTTTTCAACTATCTTCAGACCCTTCTGAGAAGGGGGCTATTGCCATGACTAGGAGGTCTGGAAAGACCAGAATTACTCAGCTTAAGCTCAGTCAGAGTGATTTCAGATCTGTAGCTCTTCCCTCCCTTCCCCTTTAGAATGGGCAACTCTTCACAAACCCACTGAACAGTAGGTGCTTCTCATCACACTCTGCCCACAGTCATTCTATTCAATTTCCTAAAGTGTGCCACCTAACAAGTGAGCTAAGTTTAAAATCCCCACTTTGTCACATCTGATCCTCTGGACCAGAATTATAAAAATTAGAACTCTCATCCCTCCTTCTAAATCCACATCCTTCCTTTGCTGTGTCAGTGCCCCAGCCATTTTATTAACGCATCTTAACAGTTGTAATGCAATGGAAAGCACAGCAACGACAGCAGAGCAGCAAGGTCCAAGGCTGCAGCAAGTGAGAATTTGCTCAAACACAACAGCCGAGGGCACAGAAATAAAGGAAAGCATCTGCTTACCTTCAGAAGGCCTCAGGCACACAGGGACCTCCAGCAAAATCCCCTTGCCTCCACTGCCAACCCTTAAATGAGGTCTGGGAAGGGGTGCATCCTGGCTCCACCCCCTCCATCACTCAGGTACATTGCATGCAGCTGAGCTCCCCTGGGTTGGCCCTGCCTTCCCACCAGGTGCTCGATCACCATTCCAAACCATGACTCAGCACTTCTGCTACATCACATCTCTTCAGCAGAAACAGAAAAGTTTTACTGAATTAAAAATAGGAGGGTTTTTTTTTTTAATAAGGTTCAAGCCTGAGAGAAGACATAATAAGCCTTGCCTATACAGAAACAGCAAAAATTCCACTCAAATTCACTGTAGAAGTCCAGCCTCTTTCTGTTCTATTCCAGTACTGCTAGAATTTCTCCTCATGAACTCATGAATTTCTCCTGCTACCAGCTGACAGACATGCTCAAACTAAATGAGATGCTAACAGGAAAGATCCTCACTACACACTCATGAACAGAAAGGTTGCTTTCAAAGTCCACAGTTTCCAAGGTCCAAAGAAGTTTGAATCATTTTTTAATTTCTGTTTTTACTTGGGTTACTGTAGAAAGCTGTGATGATCTATGGCTGCAGCCTTATTGCTGGGCACTACAAAAGGCAGGTCTGCGTGCTGCAAAGGTTGAGAGAAATGCAAAGATTCGGTTAATGTTTTTCATTCAGTTTCTAAATTGAAAGTTCATTCTAGTAATTAAAAATTAGGCAAGAACTGAATAACCTATAAAGGTGAGCCTCCACTGTAAGCAGTTTAAATTGACAGAACAAAAATATTTATGTTTAAAAGATGGTAACTTAGCAACTACAGAATGATTTAGCTCTCAAACTTCACAATTCTCCGAGTTCACACACAGAGAGATGGGAGCTGCAAGTGCTTATGGAGGGCATTTCCTCCGAGTGAGAAAGCAGCCGAAGGCTCTGTGATACTCCTGCACAGTGCCTCGGAAATGCACGCCTCCAGGACAAACCCTTTAAGGTCACATAGCCACGTTTTCTATTTTAGCAGAGCAAATGCCACAGCTCTAAACAGAGACGCTGCTCCGTGTCCTCACCACACGCAGACCCCTCTGAGTGCCTGTATCTAAACAAGACAGCCGAGACCTGCAGTTAGAAAGAGAGATCTGAAGAGGGAGGCCTTTGGTACACGAAGCACAGCTCTTGGACTGAGTTGAAAGTCAAAGAGAATGTAGAAAGGAATAAATAATCAAAAGAACAGAAGTAAAAAGAAACTGATAAGACTCTGAGAGGTACAGATGCATTCTGAGATTCCTGGAGCACACACACACAAAAACAACAAACAATGCTTTTCTTGTTGTTGTTTAAAGTAGATTTTGTTCTAAGTTGCAGCATTCTACAGAAAGAAATGCATCATAATAAGAGAAGTTTTGTACTGTCTGCAAGATTTGACTTTATTCCCTGCAGAAACAGAGTCCAAGTTGTATGGATTCAGGAAAAGAAGAAGAGCAAGTTTGGGCATTGCCCAAAAACCCAGCAATCAGAGCACTCGTGTTGGTAGGGAAAAGATACGTCAGCAACCTGCTGCAAGGAGTTCATTAGAATCACTGAACATGCCGTGCAGTCATTTACCTGGGCCTGCTGGATGAGGACACCTCAGCATCATAACATCTGAAGGCAAGATCCTGGGTGTGGTAACTGCATGGAGTGAGGCCCATGAAAACATGGACAGTCATTCCTTGTTAAGATTCCCAAGGAGATAACTGACGCCAGTGAAAAGTGGGAGTCTGTCTCACAAATAGTTGTTTACCTTGATGGAGAACCTAGTGTGTCTCTTTAGCATCTTTATAAGTTATTAATAAAATGCCACACAGGGCTGGAAGTTCAGAAAAGAGCACTGGGGCTGATGTGTAAGCAAAGATATAAGCAAATAATGTGAAAAAGTGTGAAACAAGTGAGGGGAGTGGCTCCAAAGGAAGATCTTAATACCAAAGCCGCTCATCTTTCACTTGGAATAAACGTAGAGGTTATAAGAAAAGTTTATAATGCACGAACCTAAAAGGGACAAGATTTAAAACATGAAGAGAATCCCAAGTTCGTTAGTTTAAAAACTAAGGCAAAACAAAACAAATTTGGAAGCTGATATCCTGACGTGGAAGAAACCAGTTTAATTTCTCAGTAGTAAGGAGCGCGGGTTTTGGCAGCGTTGCGGTAGCAGCTCAGTTCAACGTCTCAGCAAAGCGCCGTGAGCTGAAGAGCGAGGCGAGGCTCAGCAGCGCTCGGTAGGCGCGGAAGGCGGCTCCGGCTGCGGTGCGTTCCCGGGCCTATGGCGCCCCCTGCCGGCCTCCCCGCGCAGCGCCGCGCTGCCCATCCCGTTGGGTAACGGGCACCGAGCCGCCCAGGCCGGAGCCCCAGGCCGGAGCCCCAGGCCGGAGCCGGTCCTGCGCAGCTCTGTGACCGGAGGGCGTCCCCGCAGCTGTTCCGTGACGGCAGCGCCCGCTGCTCGGTGCCAGCCCGGCACCGGAAGGCACCACTCGCAAACAGGATGAAAGGAAGCCAGAGGGATTTCCAGGTCTTTCCTGGAAGGGTCAACTGAGTTTTAGTGTCGCTGTCAGCTGTTGCAGACCTCCTCTCCATTTGGCGGACTGAAAAGTAGCTGCTGAGGTGCGACAGAGCCCCTGGCCTCCAGGACGGCCCTGCTGCAGCTCTGCCAAGTGCCACAGCCATGTGCGTCACCAGGGGAATTCAGGTTTCCATCACTGGCACAGCCCAAAGCCTGGCATCTTTGGATTCTCAATTCCTGCCTCACGCATTGCCCTCATGTTCCACAGAGCAACTCTGCATTTTCCCCACTCAGGTTTCTCATTATAGGAACTAGGCTGCACATGAGTGTTCTCTCCCTGCTCACTTATTTCAGGAATCCCCATCTTCTGGTGACCTCAAGGGCAGTACCAGCCCCTTTGCTGCCCTAACCAACTCCACACCCATTGCTGTAACACATCTCTGTGTTGCTGCCACAAAAGATCCGTATTTTTGTCAACCTTTTGTATTTTACGCTCACATTTTGTTTCCCATGAGATTATAGAAAACTTGAATTAGTGCTGCTTGCCAGTCTGCAGCCTGTCTTGAATCCTACAGGTGTTCCAAAGACAGTATTGCTTATCTGCACAGAAATGCATGGCTGAGAAACAGCTGCACAAGAAAACCCCTCTTCTCCATCCTGCTTTTGAACTCCAATTCCCCCTCCCTCTTCTGTAATCAGCAGTGGGTTGATTACAGATGAGGCAGGGAATATCAGCTTACTTTGCTGCTGAGATTACTTACCTTAAATACTTGGTGAAATTCTCACAGCTGGGTTGCCCATCCCTGAGGTTCTGTCTTGCTGTGTCCCTACTGTGCAGGGAGTCAGGCCTGGCGGATGCTGTGCTGTGCTGGGTGCTGTGCAGTGCAGTGCTGTGCTGGGTGCATTGTCGGGTGCTGTGCTGTGCAGTGCTGTGCAGTGCTGGGTGCTGTGCAGTGCAGTGCTGTGCAGTGCTGTGCAGTGCCGGGTGCTGTGCAATGCAGGGTGCTGTGCTGGGTGCTGTGCAGTGCAGCGCTGGGTGCAGTGCAGTGCTGTGCAGTGCTGTGCAGTGCCGGGTGCTGTGCAATGCAGGGCGCTGTGCTGGGTGCAGTGCTGGGTGCTGCCCTTGGTGGGTCCCTCGGTGATGTGAGCATGCCTTGCTCACCCCATCCCGCTCCATCACACCTCAGCTGGATCCCCGGGATCCCTTCTCAAGCTTCACAAGGCACAAGCCGTGTTTGGTGGCAGTAGGGGCAGCAGAACCCCAGCGCACATCCCCGCCAGGGGCGTACGGCCGTCGAACCGCCCGAGGCTCAGAACCGACCGCGTCTCAGAGGCAGCTCCGGGGGCAGCGGGGCTGCGGAGTTTCTTCGCTACAGCGACGTTCCAGCAGCTCCCACCTGGGAGCAGTTCCTACAACACGCGTCCAGCACAGACAGCCCCTTTTTTTCAGCGGGCCAGCCTCACTGTGACAGAACCACCGCACGGTGCTGCGGTGCAGGACACGAGCGAGCAGAGCGAGCCGCTCGCCGCCGCGCCTCCCGCGGCTTCCGCGCCCCCTCACAGAGCGGCGACCGTTAGGAGCGTTGGGCGCGTGCCGCCAGGCGGCGCTGCGGCAGAGGCACAGCACGCAGCAGCACAGCGCGGGCAGCTCGCGCACCTCAGGCGTTCGCGCAGCCTGGGGGCGCTGCGCGCTGTTAGAAAGCCGGGAGCACCGCAGGGATCCACGCAGCTGAGGTTTAAACATCAATCCGGCAGAAATCGGAGCTGCTGTAAAGAAGCGACGTGAAGCTCTGACTTCGGTTATACGGAGCGCTGCTGGAGGACGCGCGAGCAGAGCCGTAGCACGGCGCGTGCACGGAAACAAAATTAGCAAGGGGTCAGAGGTGCTTAAAGAACAAGTTTATTGACAATTCCTTCACACATAAACGTCCTAAAAGAAAATGTCAGAGATCTCTAAACTTAGAAATTTTAAAATTTTGTTCTCATTGGCAAAATACACCCCCCGAGAAAGAAAAAAAAAAGAGATGTCACCGCGTTTTTTAAACTAATTGCAACATTTCGGATCAGTCTTTTGATTTTGTCATACACGTCCAACCCTTCAGCACAGTGAATATGAGTCCAGTTTGCCTTCTGATGGAATCTGAAGAGGGTTTTCCTCTCTGCAAGCACCTCCAGAATCCTCTGCCTGCTTACAAACCAACAACGCCAGCGGGGAACAACTGCAACGTTCAGTCTGGGCCAAATTATCCTGGTAGCAACCGCAGCTGAGATTCCTCCTGTGTGACACAGAGCACACCGTGCTGTACAGCAAACCATCAGCATGCAGCTCAGGTCGTTTCTGTACTTCAGGTGTGCGAACTTAAAGCCAAAAAGGGACAATGCTGATAAAAATGTACTCGGATGTTTCGTAACATTTATATTTATTGCTTTATATGAATACTGTATTGAAAGCCCAAGCATTCAGTTTACACACAGA